ACTTTCCTCCCCAAAGACTTCTGACCACCCCATCCGTCATCGCAGCCATCTTAGTTTCTTGCAAACAGATAACATGGGCACCCCACTTCCTCAAAGCTACCTTCACCACCCTCCTTTTGTCTGGATCGTTGAGACCGCGGACATTTCAGGAAATAATATGTAGCTTCATTAAGAGGCGGAAAAAATCATCTCCCCTCCTCCCACTCCTTGTCCTTCCCCTCTCCCTCGCCATCCCTTCCTTCCCATCATAGTTAACATATGAAATAAGATTCTTCACCTCCTGCTCCCCTTTCCGACATGGTAAAGATCTCTTAAACCGAACTCCATTCGTCTCCTGCTGATTCACCTCAACCTCTCTCCCTTCCACAATAGCATGAAGGATGGACAACGCCTGATTGCCTTTGCCCTCTGAATAGACACCTAGCAATTCGCTTGTAGAATTTAAGACTTTATACTTGTAGAATTGAAATAAAAAGGTGAAGCTGATAAAAGAAAATAAAAAAGAATTAAGGTAAAGGGTGTCAATTGAAATTTATCCTAGTAAATATTCTCACTGCATGAGAATTCTGTTCTCTCTCTCTCTGTCTCCCCTTTCTCTCCCCCTTTCTTTCTCTTCCGCCATCACCTCTAGCCCTTCCTCTTTCTCAGTGCTCACGATGTACTCCAAATAGTTAGTCCTCCTCTAGTCTTACAAATATGTTCCCAAAATCTGAACCAACTAAATGCAAAACTGAACAATATGCACTTTCCACACCATTAACCCTAGATAAACTTGACAATGATGAAATCTTAACTAGGGATATTTAAAATTATAAAACAGAAAGAGAAAATGGAGGATATGAGAAAAAGAAAATGACAAGAATGAGAAAGAAGTAAAAAGAGTTTCGACGGGAGAAAAGAAAATAATCTTTCAAACCTTTTGTTTACAAGAGAGACAACAGAGGGAAAGAGTAAGAATCAAGCTCCTCAATAAATTTTATTACTTTGCTTTTATATCCTCTTATTCCTTGTAAGTATCTGACCGCATTACTCCACCAATTGCCAAGTTGTCAAGCTACATGGAATGTTCAACCAATCACATGACATTTCCATACATGCCCACATTTCAGTGAAGTAGCTTGACATGTGTCACTTTCTAAGGGAAGGATTATTTAATCTCCAGTTGTCGCATGTCAAACATATCAGTCCTTTTGTCAGTGCTCATGGTGTCTACACCTCGGACTTGGGCAAAGCCTTCTATAAAAGATCACTTCAATGTAAGAGAAGGAAGTCACAGATCATCTAGCTTAAGATTCAAAGCAATAACACATTCAGATCAAGCAAAGAAAGCAATATCAGTAGCAGTTCTAGGCTCAGCACCATGAAGCCTAGAAATTCTCTCAATCCAAAGGATCCAAACAACTACTGTAAACACAGATCTGCCAGAAGATTTAAGTTTAGTCTTCTTATCTCTAATACAACTCCTAAGTCCTCGTATCTATCCTCCAAGATTTCTAAGACAGAAGATCTAAGTCTAAATATTAAATTAGTAGTTCCAAAGAGTTCATTTAATCCATAAGTTCAATTTTTTTTGAATTAATTTCTCATTTTCACCTGATTGAGTGTAGATATATTATAAAAGAATTGTTTGCTGTTAGATCTAGAGAGGTTGTTGGTGGATCTTGTTTCGGATCTTCCAATCTACAATTTTACTGATTATTTTAAAATTTTATTCAATTTATTTCTATTGCTACATAGTTAAAAAATTTATTTTTTTGGTGATCTACAAATTGTAGTTGCAATAAGTTGTTAATATTTTACTTTTAGATTTTACTGTATAAGTGCACATGTTATAAAATTAGTGTAAGGTAAAAATATTTAAGTTTTTTTGGCTAACAATGACCTAAAAGTTCAATGTAATAGCATTACCATATTAGATGGTCTTAAAACTTAAACAAAATTAATTCAAAACTAATTTTTTTTTTTTTTTTTTTGATAAGTAAACAATTCAATAAAAGCGTTCAAAAGGGGAACGCGTCCCTAACAAAACCACAAACACCTGGAACCCCTAAGGCCCCAGGGAAGCCAAAAACTCAACAGTCTCCTCAGCAGAAGAGCATAATCTACCCGAACCCCAAAAACAAAGAGAGCAAATAATAGAAGATTTTAGAATAGTAATGGAAGATTCCTCTCCTTTAAAGGATCTTCTATTCCGCTCCCTCCACAAGCACCGCCAAAGACACAGAGGCGCCATCTTCCAGAACCCTTGAGCCTGTGCTCCCACCCAACACCTGGAGCCCCTCTCCAGCTGTCAATCAATTAACAGTTAATAGTGGCGAGTTTGAGAAAACAATTATATGTGGCCCCTCCAAAGTCCATTGTACCTAAGCGTTGCTTTAGAATATCCAAATTTGGTGAAAAAAGTAAGTCCGTTATTGCAGTAGTCTTTGCTACAAATCTACAGTATATATACATTATCTATATGAATTCAAGAGAGAAACAAAAAGGGATGATCGGTACTTGATAGCCTCATTTATTGGCTGCCGGTGTGTTCCTCTCTCTGTCTCTTTTTTGTGGTTTATTAATTTTCCCATCATTGTTTATTTAAGTTGTATTTTTTTTTCCTCAATTTTTTAGGTTGTATGTTTCTTATATTTGTTTTTTATTATACTATGAATAGGGAAAAGATACGATGAGGGAGCTCTAATTAAGCTCGCATATTATAACCATTGGGTTGCAAAGTTTGAGGTCTAGCTCTCCATCGAATGTTTACAAGGATGAAAGCTTAGTGAGAGTGTCCTCTTGACAGGCTTGCTCTTAAAGAACATATATTGAGACGTATTTTAAAGAAAAATTTATTACAATTACTTTGTATATTTTTTGTAATTTTAATTACATAGTCCTAATTTGCACCTCTAACTGAATATTGCTAGGTCTTCCCCTTACTGTTATGACCATTGTAATCGTTACTTAAAACTTTGTTGCACTATTAGTTGAGGCAATACCTTTAGATCCATGTGGTTGGCAATCCTGGTTGAGTTGCTAATGCTTTTTTTAGTTGCGTGTCAGTCTCTAAGAAGTTAGGTTGTACACTTCTTACACTTAACAACAATCTTCAATTTGCTTTCCCATCCAATAGCCATGACGATAGGGTTTGCACTTAATGGACCTTGTCTACTAACGGGATTGAGAGCAGGATCCAAGGAGCTCCTTGAGTTTTTTAATGCACAGCCATAGAGTGAACTGCCCTTTGTGGTTATGTCATGTTCAACTTGGGGTCCTAGGAGTGCTTGTCTTGGTGGTTTAAGTTTAGGATTCACTGAGGTGTCTCTCTCATGGTTCATACCTCAACCTCAGTGTGTGTGTGTGTGTGTGTGAGAGAGAGAGAGAGAGAGAGAGAGAGAGAGAGAGAGAGAAACCATATGAATCCTGAAACCATATACTCTAACAATGGGGCAGTGTTCTATTGGACCACACTAATAATTTGTGTCAACATCTCGTGGCCCTCCTATAATGCATCCCATTCACCACCTCATCATATTCCATTAAATTGCCCAAACGTGGTAGCATATCATTAGGCTTCACAGAGAACACGTAACCATCTCATTCCACCCTACCACTGCATTGTCGTATCTCATCGCAGCTTACCATTCCAATACATCTGAGTGGGGAACGTGGCAATGCCCCATTAGGACCTCACGAACCTCTTTCTTACATCAGCATACTATAAATTTCTACCCCCATCACACTTGAGAGAAATTCTCTGGCACCTTAAATAAAGTCGTAACCCAATTATAAAGGGTACTGAGAGCATCTAGTTAGACTCCCCTCTCTAACCAAGACGAACTCCAAGGGTAAGTAGGACCTCAGGGTACTCAAATATGCCTTGGATTTCCACCTAGTCCACCTGCAACCTTCATCATATTATGACTTGTGATTAATACCTCTATAACCCATTCATCCTTAAGAACCTTCATATTCCTCTTCCCTTGACAAACAAATGGCACCTAACCTTGTGCCTTATTTGCTCGTACGCGAAATATCTATAAATTGCCTAAAGTAAGATTTAAAAAGAAATTGACCCTAGATGGACTTGAAATTGTTTTAGAATTTCAAATACGAAAAATTTCAAATTTGAATGTAATATGTTCTGAAAAATAAAAGTTTTCCTGGCAAGTGTATGTCTGAACCTAAACGGTCTTCTAACATTGAATTACTTGTGGCTTGGTCCACAGTTTAAATTGTTATTGCATCAATTTCCCAGTAATAGAATGTAAAACCTCGCTTAAGTTGTGAGCTGAAAGATTGGTGATACCTTCACGAAATGATTAGATAAGTTTATAGCTTACAACACGTGTACTGTACTACTAATACACATGGAAGAAAGCTTGGAAGAAATCTACTGAATGAAGTAATTATTGCTTCTCTCTAACCAAACCCAGAACACAGTGATTTGGTTATTTGATTTGTAGATGAGGGTATCTTTCAGGAGAAGCTTAATACAACTGTTTTGAACAGTATACTGTACCAGACAGTTAGTGCCCATCAGTTCTGTATCATATACATATATACGTGCACACACTCTAAAAATCCCAGTGAAATAAAAATCTCTATAAACCACTTGCTTCTAAGCTCTTCATAGTTGAACAAATGAAACCTGACACATATATGCTCTGTGTTGTTGGTTTATGAGGAGAGAAAGGATTCTGAAATTCTTGTGTCCTTTAAGAGATAAAAGACATTGAAAGCACAAAAGTTCTTGTGTCTTTCCTTAGATCTGATGCTCGTATTTAAGGGACTTGTATTCTCATGCCTCTACTTATTGTTCAACATTTTCAATGCTTATCGGGTTTTATGCACTGTTAAGTAAGATTTCTATTGCAAATATAGTTGCAGATGGTTGGTGTTGTTTACCTTTTTCGGATATTTAGTATTAGTAAATAAATAATGACATACAACAACCTTCGCCGCTCTGGTTAGACCGTGTTATGAACAATCTAATAACAACTGTAGTGTCACAGGTTTCAGAAGTGAGTTCACGTTTAGGTAGAGCAAGTTCTTTTAGCCTTGAAAAGGCTGTGGATGTCTTGGACACACTTGGGAGTAGCATGGCCAATTTGAACCCAAGCAGTGGATTTGTTTTTGGGGCCACAAGCAAAGGCAACAAACTTTCAATTTTAGCATTTGAGGTTGCGAACACAATTGTCAAGGGTTCCAGTCTTTTGCAATCTCTTTCAAAAAGAAGCATACGAATGCTGAAAGAAAAGGTGCTTCCTTCGGAGGGTGTGCAACTTTTAGTATCAAAAGACATGGATGAACTCCTTAGAATTGTTGCGGCTGACAAAAGGTACCACTGAAGGGAAGGATAACGATTTACAGTAGCGTTTTCCATTGATAAGCGTGCTCTTAATGGTTATTATTGTATTGGTTATTTCCTTTCTAATTTGGTGAATTTGATTCTTTTTTTTATTGTGTATTTATTCTTTATTTGATTGCATATACAGGGAAGAACTGAAAGTTTTTGCAGGAGAAGTGGTTCGTTTCGGAAATCGTTGTAAAGATTCTCAGTGGCACAACTTGGATCTTTACTTTGAAAAGTAGTTTATAACATTTTTGCTTTTAGTATTGAGTTTATTATATATTTTCTGCGTTTATCATGAATTCACTAGGTGATTTCTTATTTCATATATCAGACATGGCAGACAATTTACTACTCACAGGCAGTTGAAAGAGGATGCAGAATTGGTGATGCAGCAATTGATGACCTTGGTCCAGTATACAGTTGTTAGTATTACCTTCTTTTTTTTTTTTTAATTGTTTTTTCCACCAAAAGATGTTTTTTTTTGTGGTAGCTGTTGTGTTAGAGCCTTATTATTGCTCAAAATAAAGATGTATGATCTCTTTTTAAATAAAATTGCAATAGAAAATATGATTGAGAAGAAAACTGGAGGAGAACCATTGTTGTTTTGTGTTGCTTTTATTTCCTAGGAAACCGATTTGATGACACTGATAGAGATCACTTGCGTATCTAGATCCTCACTACATCATCTTCCCCTTCCAAAAAGAACTCCACCTTGTCTAGTTAGGTGTTGGACCAAGAATAAGAGAAAAAAAAAGGGGTAGCCAGTGCAGGAGGAAGCTGCCATTGCGAGGGTTGGGGAGGGTCAGACCAAGAATGCTATCTTTAAAATTAAGTTCAGTTTTAGGAGTAATGAATCTTAATGCTGCTTGAGCTTCTATTGCAGCAAGCTGTTCAGAGTTATATATATGTGATAGAGAGAAGTTTCAGACTTGTATATTCATAATCTAACCTAATAAAGTGTACAAGGCTATATAAAGAGTACAAGTCTTACTTAACTACACAAGGGCCCCTATCAACTTTCTGTAATTACATAGTGGCCCAACACTTATATATATATATATATAAACATTCTTAACACTCCCCCTCAAGCTGGAGAATATATATCAAATAATCCCAGCTTGGAACAGATAGTTCTTAACCGATTATGACCCAATGCTTTGGTAAACATATCAGTTAATTGATCTTCAGGCTTCACAAATGGAGTAGAGATGCTCCCACTTAATATTTTTTCCCGGATGAAGTGACAATCAACTTCAATATGTTTGGTTCTCTCATGAAACACAGGATTTGATGCAATGTGAACTGCTGCTTGATTATCACAGAACAATGGAGTAGGAGCCTCAACTATCAACCCAAGTTCTTTTAGAAAATGTTGTATCCATGTCAACTCACTAGTGGTATGGGCCATTGCCTAATATTCAACTTCAGCACTAGATCGAGCTACCACCGTCTGCTTTTTACTTTGCCATGTAACAAGATTTCCTCCTACAAATGTGCAATAGCCTGTAGTAGATCTCCTATCTGAAAGAGAACCAGCTCAGTCAGCATCTGTAAAACCTTCCACCCTGAGATGACCATTTGATTTATATAGTAACCCTAAACCTGAAGCTTTCTTGAGATATCGTATAATCCGAAGAACAGCAATCCAATGTGGCATTCTAGGAACTCCCATGAACTGACTCACAACACTGACTGCATATGAAATATCAGGTCGAGTGATAGTGAGATAAATTAATTTCCCAACAAGGCGACGAAACCTGCCCGGGTCATTAAATAGATCACCCTCATCAGATACAAGTTTTGTATTTGAATCCATAGGAGTATTAACCGGACGACCACCCAACATACCTGTCTCTTCTAATAAATCCAACACATATTTGCGTTGGGATAAACTTATACCCTTCTTGGATCTAGAAACTTCAATGCCCAAGAAATACCTAAGTTTACCCAAGTCTTTAGTGTGAAATTGATATTACAGAAACAACTTCAACTTAGCGATGCCTTCAAAATCATCACCTGTGATCACAATATCATCTACATACACCACAAGAAATATGAAGCCAGCTTTAGTGCGCTGGTGAAACACCGAATGGTCGGTCTGACATCCCTTAAGACCAAATTTTAACGCCACCTCAGAGAATTTTCCAAACCAAGCCCGTGGAGATTATTTTAATCCATACAGAGCCTTTTTAAGGCGACAAACAGTGTGAAGATACTCCCCCTGAGCAACAAACCCAGGTGGTTGCTCCATATAAACCTCTTCTGCTAAGTCACAATGCAAAAAGGCATTTTTAACGTCTAACTGAAACAGAGGCCAATGTCTATTAGCAGCAAGAGAAATCAAAACGCGAATAGAAGAAATCTTAGCAACGGGAGAAAATGTCTCGTCATAGTCAATACCATAAGTTTGGGTATAACCTTTGGCAACAAGACGTGCTTTTAAACGCTCAACAGACCCATCTGGAAGATACTTCACAGTATATACCCAGCAACAACCAACAGGTGTGACATCCGGAGGTAATGGAACAAGATCCCACGTGCCATTCTTATGCAAAGCATCCGTTTCATCTTGCATTGCGTTCCTCCAGCCCAAATCAGACAATGCATCTTGCACAGTCTTAGGAACGAATGTAGTAGACAACTTAGAGGAAAAACAGGAGAATGATGGCGATAAGGAATTATAAGAGACATAATGAGCAATAGGATGGTTAGTAACACATGAGTGAGGAGCCTTACGAAGTGCAATAGGCAAGGAATCAGACATAGTGGAAGGCGCCAGATCTAAAGACTCTGAAGACAATGGAGGAGGCACGACAACAGATGGCTTTGGTCTTCGAGTGTACACCTGTAACGGGGCAGATGGAGGAACAAGAGATCGAGGTTGAAGAGAGAGTGAGGGAAGAGGAACGGCAGAAGGAGGCGGCTCAAGAGTGATATCAAGAAGTGAATCAGTATTTGAAAAATATGGGATGGACTCAGAAAACGTTACATCTGCGCTAATAAAGTACCGTTGAGAAACAGGACTATAGCAGCGATAACCTTTATGAGAGCGAGAGTAGCCAAGAAATACACACTTTGTGGCACGTGGGTCTAATTGATCAAAACCAGGACCAAGATTGTGGACATAACATACATATCCAAAAACCCTAGGAGGAAGAGAAAACAAGGGAGAATCAGGAAATAAAATAGAATGTGGAGTTTTGCCATCTAATACAGATGACGGCATACGGTTAATAAGATGACAGGCAGTAAGAACAGCATCACCCCAAGACTGTTTAGGCATATGCATATGAAACAAAAGAGCACGAGTTACTTCTAAGAGATGTCGATTCTTACGTTCTGCAACTCCATTTTGTTATGGAGTATAAACGCATGAATTTTGATGAATAATTCCTTTATCACTAAGATATGTATCAAATGGAGTTGAAGAATATTCCTTAGCATTATCACAACGTATAATACGAATTGGACATCCAAACTGAGTTTTGATTTCTTTGCAAAATTTTTGAAAAATTAAAAACAACTCAGAACGATCTTTCATTAAAAACAACCAAGTCAGGCGAGAATAATCATCCACAAATGTCACAAAATAATGAAATTTATTGATTGAAGAATGTTTTATTGGACCCCATACATCTGAATGAACCAAATGAAAAGGACTAGCGACACGATTATTAACCCTAGACTTGAAAGACACGCGATGGTGCTTACTAAGTTCACAAACTTCACATGACAAGAATTTCAAATGACTAAGACTAGGAACTTGACGCTTCAAAACTTGAAGTGACAGGTGACCAAGGCGACAGTGCCACTGAAATGGAGACAGAGAAGACTGAAGAGCCACAGGAGAAGGTTCAAAATCAAAATAATATAAGCCACCAGCTTCATGCCCCGTACCATTCGTCTTCTTCGATTTGAGATCCTGAAACACACAAGAAGTAGGATCAAATGTAACAGAGCACTGGAGAGATTTAGTAAGCTTACTGATAGACATTAAATTAAAGGGAAACTGCGGAACATGTAAAACAGACGAGAGAGACAATGAATCACTAAGTTGAGTTGTCCCCAAACCTAAAACCTGAGTGGATGAACCATTAGCAAGAGTAACACTTTGAGATGGATGTACAGAATGAAAATCAGATAGAAGAGAAGAACATCCGGTCATATGATTAGATGCTCCAGTGTCTATGATCCAAGGACTACGAGTGGAAGACAATAGACATGTGTGTGCAGTACCTGACTGGGCAAAAGTAGCCGTGGAAGATGAATTAGATGCTTGCTTATAAGACAAAAACTGAGTATACTCATCCCGTGGAATAGGAACTGTATCTGATTCAGCTATGTTGTGCGATCCAGAAGCAACATCATTCGGAGAATAGGAAACTTGATTGGCAAAACTAGATGGTTTCCCATGAAGATCCCAACAAAAGTTCACAGTATGATTAGAAAGACCACAATGGGTACACTTTCTGTATTCCCTGCCACGGCCACGTCCTCCATGTGAATCACGACCACCATGTGTGGAGCGTCCCCCACGACCTCCACGGTAAGTATTATGTTCACCCTTTGAAACCACTAATGTTGAACGCTCACCACTCTGTCCAGTATTCAAATTTGAGGTATCACTTGCAAGTGTAGCACGCTGAAGTCTAGAAAACACCTCAGCAAGAGATGGAAGTGTTAGACTGCTCATAATCTGTGCACGAAAAGGCTCATATGCTGATGATAAACTAGTAAGAAAACAGACAACATTAAAGTCCGCACGCTGTTGTTGTATACTGCGAACATCACCTGTAATAGGCTGATACATATTCAGCTCTTCACAGACTCCCATAACTTTGGAATAATACTCTTCTATACTTTGAGTACCTTGTTCAAGATTGAAGTACTGCTTACAGAGCTCATAAACACGAGTGATATTACTTGTCCCAGAATACAATTGCAGTAATCTGTCCCATATCTCCTTGATAGTATCCAAATAAAGTAGAGTTGAACTAATTTGGGGTTCAATACTGTTTATCATCATAGAAATGATCTGAGCATCTTCCTTTTCCCATGCATCAAAGGAGACATCAGTTGCCTTGGGGTTTCTCTTTAGTCAAATGAGAACCAAGACCTCTGCCTTTGAGGAAAATGGCAACAGATTTAGCCCATAATATGTAATTCTTCCCATTGAACTTAACTGAAGTCATGGGAGAATTAAGACTGTTCGTGGGTGAAAGTAAATCTGAACTAGATGCCATGTTGAATCCAGCAAAACAGAGAAGAAAAACGGTAGAAAAAAAAAGATTCTGTATTCTGGCCAAACCTGGAAAACGACTCGGATCTGGAACCGAGTCGGATCTTGAACCGGGCCGGATCTTGGACCACCGGGTCGGGACTGGTCAATGGACCTGGTCAAACGGGTTGGACTGACCTGGGC